TCACGTCGGCTTTTCTCTACTCACGTTGTTCCACTATCCGTAGTCGCAACGGTGATAATACCCGCCGTAATTGGTTAGAAATTCGGCGTTTCAAATTTGGAATTCCCCGTCATCATTTGAAAATTACAATGATTAACTCACCTCTGATTTCGCACGGATAAAAATAGTTTGATCCTTTCTTTAATTTGATCTAAAATCTGCATAATACCTCAATGTACCTGAAGACGTGCGTCAGGAGTCAAATATTGGACCATAAATTGATACATACAAGGGTCGGATGTTAGTGAACCAATATCTTCCTTAAAACGAAACAGAAAGATTCGTGCAAGAGTTACACTTGTATCGTTTCCATCCAAACCTGTTTACAAAATATAATTATAAAGATCTAGGTATATGAACTGAACGAAGTGTCTACAGACAAATCTAATATTGAAAGTGTGCCGAAATCAGCAGGAACTTTTCAGCAAATACTGATTGTGAGTTCGTTTCAGCCGATTCACCTCTACAAAGCTCAGCCACAGGACAATGACCCTTGGGCCACCACGTGGCGAGTGATGTCTCTTCCCCGTCAAACCACCTTACCTGTCTGATTTAAAGCAACTACCCGGCCGTGAACCTTTGAGACTTCCTAGGGTATCCACCTTCTCCCTTCGCTTTATGCCCCGTCCTTGTCCTTCCTGGTCTTGCACCGCATTTTGTATCTACCTGCGAGTAGGCAAGGCTACTTGTCACGCTTAAGTTGTCAGCGATGCGAATAGGGAAAACGCGAGAATGGTATCACGTTTAGGGCAGTCGGTATAAGTGTGAAAAGGGGAGTGGATTAGAAGGGTCTCGAGCGGAAGGTGGCCTACATTCTAAGTAGATTTTCATTCCCCTGTTACCAGAAAAATACTAGTAAGAGTAAGAGTAAAGAATTAATACTATTCAAATGATATTGTCCGATCGTGCGTTTAATTAAAAATCTTTGATTCACTCGTATTAATGATCACGCGGGGAACGTGAGGTAATATTTTGAAGAAACATGTATGTTTTAAAAGTGCAGCAAAAGTATATTTGCGATTTTTACTTCCGCGTTGTGAATCGAGCTAAACATTCCATTAATACGTGTCATCGACACGAAGATCCGTGCATTTGCATCGGCGTGATATCAAATCGTAGATCTGCATTTACGTATATCCTTTCGTCTCCAATTTCATTGTCCCATACAGTATACGTATACAATTTATATCCTTTGTTTCATCCGTCAGCATTTTTAAGCTCGATGCAATATCGCATCTTCGTGAATGATACACGAGACGTAAACTATTTATTAATGCACAAGAGGATAAGATGTAAAGTTCAAAATCAATCAAACGAATATATAATTAAAATATATAGCTTACATTGCTTGTTTCGTTAGTTTCATACATTCTGAACATTTCTTACTGAATCTTCAACAGATTTATAAACGAAATAAAAATACGTTAGGAGAACGAAGAGAGGATTAGAAGAACGAATGACTTAAGATGCTGTTCAACTGTTATTAACTTCAATCCTTCACGAGTGTAATTGGTGTATTAATAGAGGATCTTAAAACATTATTTATCATGTCGGAGGATTCTTTCATGAATACCTACTTTAATTAATAATCATCATACAGTGAGACACACCGGAGGAGGTTCATGAACGATCTCCGAGCATCAACCTCTCGACCTCCACCGATCCCCATCGTTTTCTCTATCTCCATCGGCAAGGTCGGCGATCCTTGAGGGAACGATTATTAAGCAGGGTAGCGTTACGTGGATCTTCGGTAAATGGCCGCGGTTCGTGCATCAAGGTGCACTGACCGCAGATAGAAGCACGTGGACGCGGACCATGTCGGTGACGCTGGTTCCGTGGAAGGGAAGGCAAAACAGGGAGGGGACTTTGGAAGGGCTGATGATTTCACGTGAATTCTCGGCAGTACGTGACGAAATAAACGTTGCCGCGTACAAAATTTCCGGTGTGCACGTGACGCATCGTCTGACGGTTTCGTCGAAAGAAACGGGATTTCGTTTGGGGGCTATTTCACGCGTATTACGTTCTATTGCACAACTCTCTTCACAGTTACTAATGGAACATTCGATGAACTAGAGGAAAACATCCATATTTCGTATGAAATTAATTAGTGTTTATTTCATAAACGTGGACTTGCTTCTTTTCGCATTAAATCTGAGGTATAAATTAGGAATGCATTAGCAAAGTCACATCTGCAAACATATATTGTCAGAGTTTTACTGTTTAAATTTATATAATTGTAAAGCTCGGCTTGCAATCGTTTAGCCTAATTCGCACATCTATCAGCCACGTTTGCAGATGTATAATCATTACTTTATACGTGTGGCTGTTATTTTAGAAACGTTCCATAAAGCGGTACGTAGAACAGCTGGATAATCACTTTCGACTCTCCTGCGTTAGCTCCAAAAATGCGTCTGACCGTCGTTCCACTAATTGCCACCATTTCACAACTATTAAAAAGAGTCCGTGTGCAATTAGAGCGGTACTAAAGAATTTTTCAAACCTGTTTACAAAATATAATTATAAAGATCTAGGTATATGAACTGAACGAAGTGTCTACAGACAAATCTAATATTGAAAGTGTGCCGAAATCAGCAGGAACTTTTCAGCAAATACTGATTGTGAGTTCGTTTCAGCCGATTCACCTCTACAAAGCTCAGCCACAGGACAATGACCCTTGGGCCACCACGTGGCGAGTGATGTCTCTTCCCCGTCAAACCACCTTACCTGTCTGATTTAAAGCAACTACCCGGCCGTGAACCTTTGAGACTTCCTAGGGTATCCACCTTCTCCCTTCGCTTTATGCCCCGTCCTTGTCCTTCCTGGTCTTGCACCGCATTTTGTATCTACCTGCGAGTAGGCAAGGCTACTTGTCACGCTTAAGTTGTCAGCGATGCGAATAGGGAAAACGCGAGAATGGTATCACGTTTAGGGCAGTCGGTATAAGTGTGAAAAGGGGAGTGGATTAGAAGGGTCTCGAGCGGAAGGTGGCCTACATTCTAAGTAGATTTTCATTCCCCTGTTACCAGAAAAATACTAGTAAGAGTAAGAGTAAAGAATTAATACTATTCAAATGATATTGTCCGATCGTGCGTTTAATTAAAAATCTTTGATTCACTCGTATTAATGATCACGCGGGGAACGTGAGGTAATATTTTGAAGAAACATGTATGTTTTAAAAGTGCAGCAAAAGTATATTTGCGATTTTTACTTCCGCGTTGTGAATCGAGCTAAACATTCCATTAATACGTGTCATCGACACGAAGATCCGTGCATTTGCATCGGCGTGATATCAAATCGTAGATCTGCATTTACGTATATCCTTTCGTCTCCAATTTCATTGTCCCATACAGTATACGTATACAATTTATATCCTTTGTTTCATCCGTCAGCATTTTTAAGCTCGATGCAATATCGCATCTTCGTGAATGATACACGAGACGTAAACTATTTATTAATGCACAAGAGGATAAGATGTAAAGTTCAAAATCAATCAAACGAATATATAATTAAAATATATAGCTTACATTGCTTGTTTCGTTAGTTTCATACATTCTGAACATTTCTTACTGAATCTTCAACAGATTTATAAACGAAATAAAAATACGTTAGGAGAACGAAGAGAGGATTAGAAGAACGAATGACTTAAGATGCTGTTCAACTGTTATTAACTTCAATCCTTCACGAGTGTAATTGGTGTATTAATAGAGGATCTTAAAACATTATTTATCATGTCGGAGGATTCTTTCATGAATACCTACTTTAATTAATAATCATCATACAGTGAGACACACCGGAGGAGGTTCATGAACGATCTCCGAGCATCAACCTCTCGACCTCCACCGATCCCCATCGTTTTCTCTATCTCCATCGGCAAGGTCGGCGATCCTTGAGGGAACGATTATTAAGCAGGGTAGCGTTACGTGGATCTTCGGTAAATGGCCGCGGTTCGTGCATCAAGGTGCACTGACCGCAGATAGAAGCACGTGGACGCGGACCATGTCGGTGACGCTGGTTCCGTGGAAGGGAAGGCAAAACAGGGAGGGGACTTTGGAAGGGCTGATGATTTCACGTGAATTCTCGGCAGTACGTGACGAAATAAACGTTGCCGCGTACAAAATTTCCGGTGTGCACGTGACGCATCGTCTGACGGTTTCGTCGAAAGAAACGGGATTTCGTTTGGGGGCTATTTCACGCGTATTACGTTCTATTGCACAACTCTCTTCACAGTTACTAATGGAACATTCGATGAACTAGAGGAAAACATCCATATTTCGTATGAAATTAATTAGTGTTTATTTCATAAACGTGGACTTGCTTCTTTTCGCATTAAATCTGAGGTATAAATTAGGAATGCATTAGCAAAGTCACATCTGCAAACATATATTGTCAGAGTTATACTGTTTAAATTTATATAATTGTAAAGCTCGGCTTGCAATCGTTTAGCCTAATTCGCACATCTAAATTTATCAGCCACGTTTGCAGATGTATAATCATTACTTTATACGTGTGGCTGTTATTTTAGAAACGTTCCATAAAGCGGTACGTAGAACAGCTGGATAATCACTTTCGACTCTCCTGCGTTAGCTCCAAAAATGCGTCTGACCGTCGTTCCACTAATTGCCACCATTTCACAACTATTAAAAAGAGTCCGTGTGCAATTAGAGCGGTACTAAAGAATTTTTCAAGCTTGGAAGAGTAATAAACTTTTGATCATGAAACACGTACTTAACATGCTTACTCATAATTAAAAGAATTGGAAACTTCACAAAACCGTTCAATTTTTTTATGAAATAAAAAGTACATTTTTTTATTATCAATTTGGGAACTGTCTAAAATTTTTTTTAATCCAAAAAACAGTATTTATTTTATAGTTAAACAATCGAAATTATTGAAAGAATAGGTGAATACAAAAAGTATAATTTTGGAATTAAAATGGATTATAAATTAATGAAAGAAAAGTATTAAAGGAAATTCTATAATTGTATTGGCAAATTTCCAAGATTTTGAGATTCAAAGACGTGCATAGCCTGAGGGCACAGTTCCTGTTTCCTTCTCTTCCTTCGCGCGGGTATCCTTTTTCTTCTAGTCATGCGGCTTCTACTAGTGACGTAACAGCAAGGTCTTACGGTATCTCCAGGAACGGGCCTACATTACGTGAGTATCCCTACACGCGACCCGCACGTACATACTTACGTGTGTACTAGAAGATCCGCTACACGTTGTTCGACTCGACTCACAATCAGCCCGGAGATTCTCTCTTCTCCCTCTTTCGTCGCTCATTTTCTCCTTTCCCTTTGATCCGCACTCGGTGCACCCAGTACAGTTTACTGAAACACATTTCTAAAAACGATTAACGGTTTAAGCCGTCTCCTCTCCTCCGATTTGCGAGCATTATTTTCTCGACCACCCGATTGTTCCTTAATTATGTGCAACATTTATACCTTCCTCGTTATTGATGTTTACTTGTCTTTTATTAAAGAGAGATTGTTGGAAGATAACTGACATTTCTATGATTGCTTATTGTGTATAGATAAACTAACAGTAGAACGATATAGTGATTTATCAAAAGAATTATACCTCGTTCATCGCGTTGCTACAATTCGAATTTTCTAAATTAGGAGTTATAGTAAATATTATGATTCATTTTAACAAGAACATTATAACGTACAGCGTAAATAGTGATTATGCGCAAGCCCGGGAAATGGAGTTCATTGTGGTTTACCTCATGAATATTAAAATTCTTTAGATAGTACTCGAACGCCTCGCAGGTTACCTAATGAAAATATTTTTCGAGATCGTCCCAGTCACTCGTCAGTCGCCAGACGCCGGCCGATGTTAATCGTTCCCTAATTCTTGCACAACAATCCGATACGTGTGAGTTAAAGATTCATTTGATTCGTGAGAACCGGAGGCGCTAGTTCCATCCGTGCGATTCGTCCCCTCTAGGGTCATCGACGTGATCGTTTTCCCTTGTTGTCTAATCGGTATGTGCGGGTGCTTTGGTCGCGATGCCGACAGGTGAGTAGAAACAGACGTACTATACTCTGTACACGTGTACGTGTATACGAATGTGTAAGATACAGTTAGGAGTACCGTTCTGAAAATGCAGCCGTTCGTATCGAGTCGAAGGGAGCGAAGAGGAGAGCCCGTTCGGTGTAGTCTTCGCTTGTATACTCGGCTGGAGCGGCGCTTTAACTCAAACAGACACGACGAGGCGGGTATCCAGTCGAAAGGGGTATAACGGTAGCGATGAATTCAATGGCACGAAGACGATGAAACACGGAATATAAGCGTGGCTGCACGCACATTACGTGCAAATAATTGTAACCGATAAATAAATGTCGTTCCGTCACGAACTTCAGCTACAACCGAGCTAGACTCGTTATTTGAATAATAATTGAAAGCTGTTTTCGATAATTTTTGATAAAAAGAAAAATTACGTGTTCAATTAGAGCGTGATATTGTTAGCACTATTTTTGACAGTATTTCTCTATTAGCGTAATCTGTGATAGCTTAAACTAGGTTCATTTATGTATTCAAGGATATCTGCAAACGAGGCAACCTGTAACACAAACACTGAGACAGTGACACAGTCCGAATCGAACGCAAAACATGCAGAGCTTGTACAAGTATGTTATCGTAGAAGTAATCTCACCTTAAAGGGACACGATTCTTCCTAATAACTTACAATCCGTTCAGTCTCGTTTTCCCTGCTGATTTGGAACACACAAGTTTATTCGGAAAACGTTCTTCAACTCGTAGAACGTTTTGTATTAAATGGTCTTTCTTAAAACTGGCTCGAGTTGTCCCTAAAAGGAGATGAATGATACGAGATACGATTGCAACCTTATCGCTTCCAAGGCGGAACAGTCTATCTGACTAAGAGGAGTACAGGCTGGTAACGGATCGAACGAACACTAACCAGACCGCGCAGCAGTGGCGCGTGCGCGTTTATCCCTGAATCGCGTTAAACCAATGAAACTTCCTCTTGTACTACCCTCGAGGGATAGAACATTCCGATATATTTCGGGTAATTTGTATTAGGGACGTAATCGTATAGAGTCAATTGCAAAGCATGGGAAAGTGCGAAACGTTGAGTCGAGTTATCAGGAGTTATTGACGAGAGCGTGTATCTACCTGCGAGGAAAAAGGGTGTATGAATCAGTGTGATCCGGGCGGGGTGGTTGTAAGGGTGGTTCAACGCTGGCTGCCATCTGCTGACGGTCATTTCAAGCTCGAGCCACTGGTTTCCCGTGAAGTGCATAGCCGAAACGAAACGCTCGGCTCCGATACGTCATCGGCACGAGCCTTTTTCAAAGGATCGAAAGGGATCCCGTGCGTGACGCGATTCACGCGTGACCCAGCCGTGACGCGGGTTCTCGTACGAGTGTTGTTTTCGTAGTAACGCGGTGTGCTCCTGCCAGAATCGAAGGGACGAACGGTCACGTACCAGTGAGCCAGGATGACGGAGACGACAATGACGTAAAACCCACGAGGCCAAGTGGATCCGTTTGGCGACCCAACTCGTTTCGTACACGAATACTGGGATCCTTGGTCGAACTCTTACCTCGATCAGTTCCCGAGATCAGATCCACTGTGCAACCCTTAAAATCATGAAAACGTTTAGTGACTTCTGCGTCCTGATACCTTGATCGAGGCTCCAAGGATTGGACAATGATTGGTATCGAGAAGACATCGTCCGAGCGCGCAATGATCTTTCGTAGTGGACCCTTGTGCGAATATTTATTCCTTGGAAAAGTCATTTAGTCGACGACCTAACAGGATTTCAGTCTGTCAGATTTGGCAACAGACTCGAGGATTGTTTTCCGCGTTATCGTTCCTCCTCACAGACGGTCGAAAAATTGTGAATTTGGTATTGATTGAAGTGATAATACACGGTCGTTCCGTGAGATGTAGACGATGAAGGAGACTGATCGACGAGTGAACGAAATGAAATTGTGAAGTAATGGACAAAACACGAACGCGGATTTCGAATTGTTCCACTGTGTTGCACAATGTCGTGTTGAATGACGAGGCTGGTTGTTAACGGAATATCGACCGAAGACCGTAGCTACCGAATTAGTTGAGGCGAAGGTCGCAAATGAGCACATGCACCTCGTAGTTCAAGATTTGGATCAGCCACCTTAAAGAGTATCAGAGATTTCTCTGATTTAGTATAAAATCTGTATTAAACGTATCGGCTGCAAAGCACAACGTCAACAGGCCTTTCCCGAAAGCTTGGAGAAATCAGACGCAACAGTCATTCGTGCAAAGTGTTTTCATTTTTCGAATAATCGTGTCTTTTATCCTCTATGCGTACTATACGTCTTCGACAAGGAGAATATAAAAAAGCGAAATTTTGACTATGTGTGCATCGATAAATTAGTGCGTCCAGTTTAACAAGCAGAAACAGTGAAACCGAAAGTGTGAACTGGATGAAACTCCCTCGGAGAACAGTTCTCTGAACGAGACCTACTGACCTATCGACTCGACGACCCTTCCCTCTTTCTCTCACGGAGGCGCTTTTTTCACTTTTATCCTGTAATCCGTGAATAAAGAATCGAATAGTTATATTGGCGCATCAGAGGACACCGACCGGTGGAGAAAGCGGCATTAGGAGGCCGAGGGGCGAACATAGCTGCGCGTACGAACGCGTTAGTGAATCGAAGAGGCTCGCGTTCTTTGAACGAGACCCACTGACCTATCGACTCGCCACTCTACTCTTACCCTCGGCGCGTGTTTCTTTCTTCGCGCCACCCTGTTTCAGCTTCTCTTTCCCCCATATTCGCTGGCGTGTTGCGTGTTGGCCAATTCGTAATTCCATTTCGTGTCTACCTCGACACGGGGTTGAACGTTCTGAGGATATAAAAGGGGAGTAGGTACCAATAGCAGCACACAATTATAAGACAAACGAGTGCCTAAGTGTTTTTTTTTTTCTCAATCGATACTTTCCACGACTGAACATCGTAGCTATAACTATTTCAAGATTCTCTATTCATTTCGACCTTCACAATTTGTTGTCCATTGCTCTGCTTTGGAGATTTTTTACTTTATTTTATTGGCGACTGTTGCCTCGTTATCACGCTCAGGGAATATTTACCTGACTTGTTTTTTGCGTTTCTCGTTTCGTCGTTCTTAAATCATTAAATAATTAATAGGATATCGCCAATACAAGGTGAAGAGTGCCTAAAATTTTATGCCTTCTCGACTGATTATTGATACATGGACACGTATAAATCGTTGTGCAACCCCTGTGTCTTGTGCTCGCGTTTAATTGTTCCCATATTTTCCTTCGCCTTTTCGCGAAAGAGATCGTGAAACGATCATAGTTCTTTCATTCACGAATGAGAAGGATTGAAAGCGTTCGCGATCGATACGATATACAGTGCCTCGATTATTCTTTTCTCTCGACTGATCGACAAAGAAACATATACACTGTTGTAACTATAAGCTTCCCTGATTTATCGCGGTTTTTCGCTTGACGTCTTTGGGTGTGTCTGAATTTCGTTCACTTCGCTCTCTCTCTCTCAAGTTCCGAAGGGAACTGAACATATAAATGAGCACCAGAACTTTATAAAGATGACTGAAAATTATGGCATTTTATCGCAAACAAAACGCTTCCAACGTTATGCAAATTCGTACTTTCGACTTGAAATTCTTCCTCTTGAAATTGTTAACAACCTTTTGAAAGACTCCTTCCCTTGGTCATTTCGATATTCAGGGAACGACTCGTAATTAACAACCGTAGACTGACACTGACTAGCTGTGGTCATAAGATAAAAAATATGAAAGTCATCAGAAACTTGTCGTTCACCGATTATCTTCTCGTCGTCGTTTATTCAGATGATAGTTTCAATGCGCGTTGATTCGATCATTTGAATACGAGCACAAGAAGCATAGAAGTGTGTCGTTCAATAACAGGTTGTGAACTTAATCAAACTTTCGTCGAATCAACTAGTACCATCGTTCAACCGGTGTATCAGAAGTTTTTTAATCTCGTTCGTGAGAGAGATGGCATCCAAACCGTATTTCGAAGCCGTCGTAATGTCCTCTGACGTTAAACGGGATTGCGTGGCGAGTGTCGAGGAATTCTCTCCTTGTAAGAGAGTAGCGTGCTGGTTCAGGCCATTGACAACAATAGCCTGATCGTAAAACCGGGAAGGTACGATCGAAGAGAAGGAAAGTATCAGCAATAAATCAAGACTGGAGATACGAAGATAAAAAAACAGCGTATGAACGTTACCGAAGCAAGAGTAAAATCTGTATAAAAATACACATACATGTATCTCACAACGTACAAACGAAAAACATTAATTCATGATCGAACGGTGTGACTAAATTCGTTAATCGAATGAAAGCCGTGCACAAAACACGAACCCAGCAACAGTTTATCACCTCATTCACGCAGGCAAGACTGAAACGTGTCTGATCCAATTCGTTCAGCATCTATTCGCCTCGAATCGCTAAAGCGAAACAAGAACTGTGCGACAGTTGATCACATTTTAATCGCGTTTCTCCTTCGAACGCTGCAAGAATGTTCTGGTTGTACACAAAAATTTAAAATAAAAAAACTACGCACGGATACGAAAAATCGAAGAGAGAAACAGAATAAAGGAAACGAAAGAAATGGCGGAAAGCGCGGCCAGTCCGGGTTCCGTGCAGGTGGCTGCGAATAGTCCGCAGCAACAATCGCAACAAACACAACAGAATCCACAACCGCCGGATATAAGCAGCTCGCAGTTGGCGTCACCACCGATCACGGGCACAGGTACGAATAGGAAACGATCGAGATCTTCCGGTAGGATTATATTTAAGATCTATGGGCATCGCAATTAGCTTTTGTTCGAGTAGTGCTACGCGTTTTCTGACTTTCACCATTTTCAACTTTGAAATTCCATATGAACATTAACTCATTTGCATCATCATTTTACGTCACAACAATTTTTCTCCTTGAATACATTTTAAGTATTACACAAGAAGCTATATTTTCATGGATTGTTGTTTTGTATTTTAGATTTAGAATTAGAATTAAGATTTTTAATCTAATATTTAGTTATAAATTACACTAATGAGCGAATTCGTTCTAACTATACTCACGTTATGAAGTTTGTCGGTATGGAATTCGAATGTGCATTCCGGATGCAAATGGGTTAGCAAGAATGTTAAGAAGGGGAGAGAATAGGCTTGGTGAACTTGGCATCAAGTTGCACAAGTTTAATGGCGGTCGAGGTCACTATTGTTTAGAATCGAAGTGGTACTGAGTAACGAACAGTCATTACATAGCGCATCGCACGCTAAACCCAACCAATGCGACGTTCTAGGTCCAACGAATATTTCGGGCCGTCCTGCGCCGCGTTTTAATTAACGAAATTAATTTTGATCTCGTCGAATGATTACACAGTAATTGATTCCGATGAACGGAAGCAATTTCCCGATATAAAGTTCGATGGAAAAAGTTTCATTTTGCAAATTCATAATTAAGAATACACCTAGGAGTCACATAATTAAATGATACTGTTTAATCAATAGTTCAGTTTTATTGGACCAGAAGGAATCATCGTGTTTCTCAAATGAACTAATTTTTTCTTTAGAAGATGTATGTTTTTTTTTAAAAGAATCCATATAGATTTTGCATGTGTATAAGAAATATCCATTCGTAGTTGAACATTCAAATTTTAATTAAATACGAATCCTGTTTCCTTCCAATAAAAACAAATCAATCTCTGATCCAATTTTCCAATATAGATTGCAGACAAACAATCCGTCTACACGGAAACGTAGCAGAAAAATGAAATGCGTTCTAGAGCCATCTATATCTATGTACAGGTATATATACACAGATTCCATCGTAATGTGAATAGTTTCGTGATTGTGATAACTAATAATGAACGGCGCCAATTCGAAGCACGATCTCTCACTCGCATAGCGATGCTGTTCCCAAACCCGCAAGCCACTCCTCGTGGATCGGGTACACTCAGAGTCTGCTATTACGATATCAAACAACCAAGTCATCATCAAAATTTCCAAAAAAGCTTTTTAGGAAATTGAAAAACTCGAATAAGCATTTGACTGATAAATAATCATATCAATATGAATTCTGAAATCACATAATCCTGCAGAGACTCAGAATACTGTTTCAAATGTTTCAAGATTATTTTAGCCAGCTATTTTCCTAGTTCTGCACTTTCTTCCTTAAATTCCGATTATCGATTTTACATCTCCATACAGTTCAACTTTAACTTTGTTCTGAAAACATTTCGGGTACCGGGCAACCATTCCCAACTCTTGGTTGCTCAACTTTGTTTCGAATGTCTGTCGTCTTTGGTAATGTAACGCCGATAAGTGTGCATTGAATTCACTGATATGAAGTCGACTGGATTATGGCGTGGCAATAAATTAAAGCTGAGTTAATTCGAAGACGGTCGAGGTCGGTTGTTCGCATCGTTCGGGTAATGAAGGACCATTACTCGTCGCGGATTGCGCAGCGAAACGGAGCGGCCCGATATGCCGGTGCAGCGCTTTTCGTGCACGTTTCTCATCCCACGGCGGGCGGAGAACGGATGAAGAAAGGAGCAAGAAGTAAGAAACGGTAGACGGCGTCGTCTGAGGGAAGAAGGAGAGAGCGCGAGAGTCGCGTTAGCGGATCTGTCGGTCGAGTAACGGAACGCTTTCGAGTACCGCTAGCACCGGCTCTGACGCGGTTACCGAACACCGTTACTTCGGTGATCCGCGAGTACCCACCACGTGCTGTCTCACCGTTCTCTTTGAAGCACGCGGCGCCCGTTCGACTGGAAGGAAAACGCTTGCCCGGGACGAGCGAGCGAGTAAGCGAACGCCGCGAATTCGTCGAACCGTGGAAAAATTGCGATTCCTCTATGCCTCCGGGATTTATACAGACTGTCTACGTCTGCTTCCACTACGTTCATACCAGTCGTCAACTTATTCCCGCGGACCGACCAGTTCCGTTTACATTAGCTTGATTCATTGTTACGGCCTATGGGTAACCACCGTTGCCCGTTGGGTCGCCGCGAACGATATGCGGACACGTTTTTATGCCATGAATCGGTGGAACGGGCAACGGTGAATCGTGGTACGGTTTTTACAGGAGACTTATAGAAATGTTACAGAACTTGATTTCGTTCGATACGTGCTAGATTGTAAACAGTAGCTTAAGGATGTATTGGCTATACAG